AGCAGGAGAATGGAATCTTTATATTTGATTTGCTGGGATGGATGAGAAAAACCAAAAAGAGTGACATGTTGGGTATTATTTTGGAAAAGGCTCACATAGTAATAAAGAAAAATGTATGATTTACGAAAAATAGAATAATGCATTCCATAACAGAGATCAGTAAGCAAATGAGGATTGTAGATCAACTTAAGCTGGGAGATGTCTAGGATTTTTTATAAATGTAGAAGAGGCAACCTAGTCAAGATGCAATAGAATTCCTTTTGGCAAATGCACTGCACATTGCTTATGCACTTTATTCAAGTAATCGTCATTTCAAGTTTTGGTTTTTACTAGTGTTCAGGATAAAACAGGACTTATGACATCAGTGTACCATCAGCTTTCAGTCTCACCTGTGATAGGTGAAGTCCTAGGCTTGTAATCACCTGAAGTCAGGCCATTGGTCCAGAAGTTCATTCTATAGGTCTCCTTAAGCCTGTATGGATATAGTTAGGGTCTGTAAAGATGTACTTAGGGTCTGTCAACTCTGTCAAGATGTATAGATTATTGACTCCATTTTGCTTTTTAGTATTTCTGAAGACTTCACAATAAGACAGGTTCTCTTTGAAACAGAATGTTGTGAATATCATAAAAATAGCAATGGTCAAATGCATGTAAAGGGCCAGATTTTCAAAACCAAGTACACTGAATTGCATACCTACTGAAAGACAGACAAAACTCTTGGGGTAAAGGCAATATCTTTTATTAGACCAATTAGAAGATATCACCTCTACCCCAAGAGTTTTGTCTGCCCGTGCTTTTTAGACCAACATGACTACAACCTATATTCCTACCTACTGAAAGTACACTAAACCCCAACACAACAGGATACTTAGATGTTCGGCTAGTCATGTGCATGAACCAAATAGCTGTATGTTGAGTGCATGCAGTGCTTGTGCATTGCTGTGAAAACCTAGCTCATGATGTATACGTCTAAAAATTTTAAAGCTTCATTATAGCCGTATAGTTTGTTTGTTTTTTAATTCACTTCCCCCCAAAAAGTAATCCCTGAGATTGAGAAGGAAAGGTATGCTTTTGTAATGCACCATTTTAGGCCATAAATAGCTCCATAATGTGGGGAAGGTTGCTTGAAATAGTTCCAATGAGGGACTATATTCTCCCTTCATAGAACGAACAGAACACTTGGTCCCAGAATAAAAACAGCAAGGGATGTGCTGGAAGCCTCATGCATACATGCTGGCTTAATGGCTTTCAGCTCACTCCAGCTTCATAATAGCATGACTTCATCGAGTCTATACTGTTAGGGACTTCTCTGCTCCCTTCAGTCCGTAGGAAAGTAGCCTCTTGGGGAAGATTCCCTGATGCAAATGTAGTTCCACTGTGGAGTTAAAGCAGGTTTCAACTACATTAGATGCATTCCTTCTGAGGCTGGTATAGGATGCTGGAAGTGGCTTTCCCAGCCAGGGCTACCCCATACCTCTGGTAGAACCCTGACTTCCAAAGGGCTTTACAAGATTTGGAGGGCAAAGGAAGATAACTTACAGTAGCAGATCTAGGATTTGTTAAGAGGGGTGTGACAGCAGACTGCCCAGCAGGAAAAGCAGGCAGGGACTTTTTTTTTTTTTTTAATTGCCCAATATGGTAAGAATCTGCCTTCCCTCATTTTTGTTCCCCCTCCATTCTCCTCCAAGCTCATCTTCAGGTCCCATCCTCGCCTCTCTCCTTTTCTCCCCTCCCACACCCTTTCATTGCTGCTGTCCCCACTCTGGAGCACTCTGGGGAGGCTCCAGAGCCATTCCTGCCCCTCTCCAGCGGGCTGCATGAAGTATTGGCTGCGAGTGAAAGCAGAACACTATTCAGGATTGACCTCTCCATGTGTGCACAGAGCAAGCAAAGAGAGAGTCTACTTTGTCATCATCAGCTGCTATTTGAAAATGAATTTTTTTCTCCTTCACTTCTCCAGATCCTTCCCTGACAGTAAGAGCAGACATTACTGGAAGATACTCAAACCGTCTCTATGCATATGAGCCTTCAGATATCTCATTGTGTAAGTATTATTTCCTAATGGAACCTTAACAAATACATTTCCAGTATACACATTTCTTTTCATAGGACAATGACAAGTGCTAGACAAGATATGTTTTAATAGCTACTGGTTGAAATGAGACACTATTTAGCCAAAGATCAGAAAAAAAACAGAGGGTCCAACTCGCATCACATTGTGCCTTACTGTAGAAATAATCACAGGAAAATTAATAGACCTACTAGTCCCATGAGGATGGCAAATTCATGCCCATAAAAAAAGTATATAAAATACACTAAGACAGGGGTAGATCTCTAACAGTATTTAGCATTGGTTCATTCTGTACCAGAATACTAAAGACTCATTAAAACTGAATGGAACTTGAAGCTCATAAATGCCTCTGTCACTTTTGAAAAATGAGACTTTGGGCATTTCAATACCTAAATCCTTCGTGGAAGTCTGGACTCTACATAAAGATTAGAATGGTTGTTATACTAAAATCTTTGCTTACTGAAGAACAGTACTATCCTGTAGCCTTAAATTTCTCTCTTCTAACAAATGACAGCATACTTTATAGGAACTTGCATAACTAGCAGCATTTCGTTTTGCAGGATAAACAGAATGTTGATGCCAGGTCCTTATTGTACCATGAGAAATGAGTCCTGTTGAAGTTAGTCAGAGTTGCTTGTGTAGCAAACACTAATGGTTTTTTTTTTCTCCTTTATCATGCAAAGAGAACTAAGAATTATTCAGTGGACTTATTATATGGACTAGATTATATAGAATTACTCCTGCTATGGTATTTTCCAAAAAAAAAAAAACAGTTTCTGCAGAAGCTCAGGTGAAACAGCTGTATACAAAAATTTTGGAAAAAGGAGATGGCACAATATGATAAAGTAGTTGACACAGTAAGAATCAGCACAATAAAGGACTTGGAAAGGTTATCATTTTGCTATTAAAGATTGCTTTTCTTTCAAGCAGAATAAGCAAGATAACAGTTTTGTGTGTTTCATTTGTAGTGTATGCAAATATGGAGAAAGCTCTGAAACTGCTGAAGACTGAACTTTAAGGCAAAGAAATTGAAGAGCCAAGATGTCTGATTTCTTTCTCTCCTCTGCTCACTGGCATCAGTGAAGAAATTAGCTAGGTGGATCTTTAGAAGTACACAGCGCTGGTTTATATGCAAAACAGTATGGTTATATGTTAACACTTTTGTACTGGGCAGCATTTTAAGGCCTGATTACTTTTTTTAAAAAGCATACAGGTGTATAGTGTATGCTCCGACTGTAAAAAAATATGATTTTTAAGAAAATAAATCCATTTTCAGGTGTTTACAAAATGTCATATTTTGTGGGTTTTCCTCAAAAATTTCTCTGATCTGTCACCCAGTGCTATTAAGTGCAAGGTTGTTGTAGCAGGCTTTAAAAATGAGAGATTATAAACATCACATCTAAGCACATCCCAGGGAAAAGGAGAGTCATTTTACATTAGTGTTTGAAAAGGAGGGCAGCTTTGTCAAACCTGCAATTTTAATAGTCAGTTAACATTTTTATTCCTTAGTCTGCTGAGTATTTTTCCTGGAATGGCATCCACTTGTTAAATGGGCCCCACTTTCCTTCCTTAGAGATAAGTCTCCAGCATGTACAGCCACAGAGTACAGGTATACCACATAACTTCTGGTTATACTGTAATTCAAAACTGCCATTTCAGCCTCACAAACATACAAAATGGAAGTATTTACCTGTGAGCTATATGCTTCATTTTCCCATAGAAAAGCCAGAACACTATGTGTAAAGGACCTTGTTATAGAATGGGCAAAGACCATTGGTCTCTGATGTAGGTGGGTTAACTTATACAAAGATGATAATGTGGCTGGATCCTTGTTTTAAAAGAAATACACTCACAAATTCTGAAAGCAACTAGAGCAGCAGGGGTTTTCTTGGCATATAACCAAGAATTTAAAAGCAGCCAAAATCTTTGAGACCAGAGAAGAATCTGATTATTTTACACAGAGTTCAGTTTAAATCAGATGCAGTCTAGAACTGATCTACAGATCATATGTATGATACTGGAACTTAAAACACATATGAGAAAACAGCTCACCTGGCCACATAATAAACATCCTTGAGAAGGAATATGGGCAGCACAGGTTCCCAGTTGTAGATACTCTAGCAGGAAGGGCCCAGAATGACCTTGACAGATGGGAGAAATGGTTCTCAATCAATGAAGTGGGATTCAACAAGGACAAGTTCAAGTCCCGCACTTTGGACAGAATAACCGCATGCACAAACACAGACTAGGGAATGACTGGCTAAACTGCAGAGAAGAATCTGGAGGTTACAGTGGTCCATAAGCTGAATGTAAGCTAACAGTATGTTCTTGTTACAAGAAAAGCCAACAGCATAGCCCCCCCAAATGTGGGGCAGCAGTAGGGCCGCAAGACAGCCCTGCCAAGGGCTTCCGGCAGCTACAGCAGGGGTGAGGAGGGAGTGAGGCAGGTGCTGCCCAGCTAGCAGCACAGGACTGAGTTGCAAGCAGCTCATCCAGGGGGTGTAGCTCCTGCTGCTGCACGCACCCCGGAAGGCATGGGAGGGGGTGCATGCCTCTGATCTGCATGGGGCAGGGCAGGCTGACACTCTGGACTGGGGCTAGGGCCACACCATGCTCTTCCCAGCAGGGCAGCCATGCTAGGTTTGGGGCAGGCGGTGGCAGCACTAGGAGCACTAGGAGGGGGCTATGGATGGCGGGGGGGGGCAGCTGCAGCCACCTCAAGATTTGCCGTAGCCCACCTGACCCCCATCCTAGCACTACCGCTGCCCGCCCCCAGCATAGCATGGCCCCCCCATGCCAGGAAAAGCCCGGCGCTGCCCCAGCCCCAGCCCACAGTGGCATGCTTCCAGATCTGCACGGGGCATGTGCAGCAGTGAGAGCCACCACCCCCTCTGCACGCACCCTAGACAAGCCATGGCTCCATCCCATGAACCCGCCTCACCCCGGCTGTGCAGGACCTAACAGGGGGAGCGCAGGTGTCCCTGGGGCTCCAGCCCGGCGGTGCAGCCGAGGCTGGCCCTGCTCCGACCCCCTGGGTGGTGCAGGGCCAGTGCGAGTGCTGGAAGACAGCTGGGGCCAGTGCGGGGCTGGGGGGTGGTGGCTTCATTGGCATGGGAGGCGTTGGCACTGGGGATTGACCCCAGGCACAGGGGAAGAGGCCCCTGCCCCGATCCTGGGCCTGGCTCCCTCCCGATCCCTGCCCGGCCCTGGTCCCAGTCCTAGCCCCATTCCCTCTCCCTCTCTCCCTGCCCCCCACCCCCATTTCCCCATAGACTTTCCCACCCGGGGGGTGCATGTGTGCGCCCAGCCCCCTCCCCCCACCAATTTTTTCTCTCTCCACCTATGCTTAAAAAGTCAAGGGAAGCAATTCTCCCAATTTATTCAGCACTATGAGGCCTTACCTGGAGTACTGTCCACTTTTGGGTGCCACACTTCAGGAAGGATGTGGACAGTTTGAAGAGAGTTCAGTGCAGGGCAGCAAAAATAAGCAGGGGCCTGAGAAACAAAATTTATGAGGAAAGGCTGAAAGAACAGATTATTTATACTACAGGAGACTAGGGGGGCATGTAATAAGAGTCTTCAAATACTTCAAGTGTGATATAAATAGGATGGAGATGGTCTTCTTTAGGTGGTTGTAAGGGACAGGACTAGGAACAACAGTGTGAAATTGCAGCAGAATAAATTTAAGATGCAAATTAGGGGTGCACCCAGATAAGCACACATGCATGGTATGAAGCACTGCAGACTTTAGGAAAGCTGATTTCAATGAACTCAGGCGATTAGTCAAGGACGCACTGCAGAGTAGGAGTTTTGAAGTGATGGGAGCCCAGGAAGGGTGGCTGTGCCTTAAGGAAACGATCCTTCGGGCACAAAGCGAGATGATCCCGATACGAGGAAAAAGAGGGAAAGGGGCCAGGAGGCTTCCTTGGCTGACCAGAGAAATCCAGGGCAGCCTAAGGGCCAAAAGGGGAGCACATAAAAAGTGGAAACAGGGAGAGATCACCAAAGATGAATATACCTCCTCTGCTCACACTTGTAGGGAGGCAGTTAGATGGGCCAAAGCTACCATGGAGCTGAGGATGGCATCCCAAGTAAAGGAC